AATGCCCTTTGCTCCTAGTAGCTTCTTGTTGCTAGTAGTAAGGCCAGAGACCCCTAGCGATGCCCTTTGCTCCTAGTAGCTTCTTGTTACTAGTAGTAAGGCCAGAAGCCCCTAGTAGGTTCTTGTTACTAGTAGCGATGCCAGGAGCCCCTATGATGCAACTGTACGAACGTACCACTCTTACTTTTGGACTCCACTGTACTTTTGTGGAGATCTATTTTCTTGGCTTCCGTTTTCAAGCTATGTACAGTATTGGTAATATATATATATATATGTATATACATTATATACTTTTGTGGAATCGAAAGCGCGCGTCGATAGAATGTGCCTTTGGTTCGTAGCCGGAGGCTCAAAAGAGCATTCGGGGCCGGGAAGCGGTCATGGAACCAGGCATCCTAGGCCGCCTGGTGGATATGGGCTGGACAAGATCCAGCCTGGCCTTCTTCCACGAGATGCCTGAGGAGGAGGTGGTGGCCATGCTTCCTGGCATAGCAGAAGACTGGACGGAAGACGAGTACAAATGGCTGCAGCGAGAAGCGAAGCGCCAGAGGACCAAGCTTGATCTTGAAGATCACGTGTTCCTGCAGCACCAGAGGTTATTGTACAAAGACCAGGGGTACATAGACAAGCAGCTCGACAAGACGGCCGCGGGGGAGTCTGAGATCGGCTTGGTGTTGGCTAGAGCACGACGTGCACTACCCCGTGTCTCATGGAAGACTCGAGCTGATCGTCTGCTAGGCCTTCAACCCACGCCGGAGCTGCGTCAGGAGGTTGAAGAAAAGGAGCGACAACGTTGGGTGAGGAAACTCATTGAGCTTCTGGAGGTGACTGGGTTGGCCGAGATCAAGGAGAAGAAGCCCGAGAGGTACACCTTCTTCGCCTCTCGATTTGCCATGGGACGCCGATCGTCCACGCTTCGTCAACATGTCAGGTTGGGCAAGCTTCTGCAAGGGTTCATGGAGTCGGTGTTCGGTGTGCGGTGGCTCAGGCATGAAGGTGATTTAATTGCATATATAGCCCTCCGCATGGAAGAACCCTGCGGCAAGTCTGTACCAGGGTCTTTGTTTAAGGCAGTCGCTTTTCTCGAGCTTGCTGCCGAAGTCCCCATGGACCAACGAATCTCGGCATCGCTCGCACTCCAGCATTTTCTACTCGAGGCCGAGCGAAGTCAGGCATGGATGCCACGCCGGGTCATCAAGGCTGCCCGGTTCACGGTGAGCATGGTGAAGGAGCTCGAGGCCGCGGTCACGGACATCACTTTGCAGTCCTACAAGAGGATCTTCGCATGGACGAAGTTGATCAAACTGTGGGGGGCCCTCCGTTGTCATGACATGGAGGGCGTGCCGCCTTCGACGTTGCGGTACGACCCGGCTGTAGGCCTGGAAGGAGATATCATGAGGAGCAAAACAACGGGTACTGGACGTCGCATCGAAATCATTCAGTTCCACGTGGGCAGGGATTGTTGGTTGGTCAACAAAGAGTGGATCCACACGGGATTGCAACTCTTCCTCAGCTTGGCCAGGGAGGCGAAGCACATGGACAAGGACTTCTTGCTGCCGGTTCCCAACAACAACCTGACGGGCTTCCGGCGTCGGATGATGAAGTACCAGGACGCGATGGCTTTCTCGAGGGCCCTCTGGTGTGAACTTCCCTCCAGAATCAAGGATCAGGACGGACGTCCTATGAAGCTCCTGCAGCCTGAATCCAGTAGCTACTGGTCGGAGCATTCTGAACGGATCACCGTGATCAGCTGGGCGGCGGCCTTGGGCATTGGCAAGGAGGTTCGAAGGCGTTGGGGAAGGTGGAAGCCTTCAGTCGATGAGGACTATGTCACGACCACCCGGAAGATGATCTTTGACGCCCAGAAGGAGGTCGCACGGAAGATTCGGAGCCAGTCGGACATGTCGGATGTGGTTGATGATCGTGCAGTGGTCAACAACTTCACCATCTGGCTTCAAGACGTGCACCACAAGACGGCCACGGTGGCCAATCGTGAAGGGCAATGCATTGGGCCTCCAAACTGTGGGCTTCCCCCAAAGCCATTTGGTGAGGTGGTGGACCAGATCAATCTCGAAGAGTCTCAGGAGGTCAGGAGTTCGCCGGTGGCACCATCGCCGGATCCGGGCTTCTACCCGGACGATTCTCCCACAGAGGTGTTCGAGGAGGAGGATCACGCGGACCTCCCGGAGGGAGAGCCTCCCTACCCATTGGGGACCTATGTGCTGGCCATTGTGGGCCAGGGGAAGCGCCGCACTCTGCATGTTTCAGGAGGGTGTCACCGGCAACCTGGGGTCCACTTCAAAGAGTACGTGATCGTGGGCATGGAGAGGCCTGAGTTGGACCCCAAGCAGGGCGAAGTTCTCTGCTCCACGTGTTTCTCGACACGGGCCAAGATGGCAGAGATTCTGGAGGCTGGCCCGGAGGGCGATGTGCCGAGTGATTCAGCATCCTCCTCAACTGACGAGGAGTCGGAAGCCGGAGACTGACTGGACTTGTGGTGTGAAATAAGGAGCGGGGTGCACGGGCGGGGGCGGACGCCCAACCAGGCCTGGGTTCGACGTCCGTCGTCGTGTTTGGTGGGCTGTGGGCCGGAGTGCCCATGGATTCTGGGTTGGGTCAGGCCGGAGTGCCTGCTTTTCTATTTGGCTCAGGCCGGAGCGCCTGCCCTGGAGGGGTCGACCGGAGCGTCGTTAGCCATGTTGGGCATGAGCGAGACGGAGAAGATCGCGGGCCTTGCCCCGGACATGCAAGGTCTCTTAGACCAAAGGGGGGTTGCAAAGGATTTGCAAGCAGGTCTCTACGACCTGGGGATCACCAATCTGGCCATGCTTTCGGCCGTGGCTATGGATAGGAAGGGCCTGGAGGGCTTAGCCAAGGCCAGCCTTGGCGTGGACTCGGAAACTCGCCCGACGGATGCGGTCCGGTTCGCCACCTTGTTTCTAGCTTGGCAGTCAGCCAAGAAGAGGATCACGGTTCGGGACGAGCAGGACGCAGAAGCCGAGGTTCAAAGGGCGCCAAAGCCCATCCCGGGGGTAGAGCTTCAGCTCTACAGAGCTGAGTTTCAGAAGCGGTTCTACAAGTTGAAGGATGCAGAATGCCCCGGGAAACCCAGCTTTGAAGATCTCTGCGAGCAAATGGACGCTGGGGAGTTGAGGGCAATGAGCCTTCGCCATTTTGGTTCGAGGAATGAGGACGATGACGCGGAGACGGGTAACATCCAGCTCGGCAAGAGTGGCACTCTGAAAATTAAGAAGGCGAAGGTGGAAACAGCCAACCCGGGGAACTTGGAGGAATTTCGTACTAAGGTCATGCTGATGATTAATCACTTCATTTTTGCCAGGTTTCGGTTCCCCAACAAGGAGGTCTTGTCAGACATCACGCCCTTCACGGCCCTGGAGTATTTGAACTACATTTGCAGCAAAGACGTGGCTCAAATGGAGTCACAGTCCGTGGAGGGAGTCACCATGCATCGGCCATCCCTGAAGCTCATCATCCACTACGAATACCAGATGCGCAAAGAGGCGATGGACCTGGTGAATAAGGGCACCAAACTGGGAGAGGCTCTTCGGCAAGTGACCAAAGACTCAGATGTCCGGGAGAGGCACTTCAGCACTCCGCTGGCTGTCTCCAGCGCCACGCAAGCTCTGCAGCAAGATCCTTGGCATCAGCGCCAAAAGGGGGGAGATCGACAGCATCCCTACGAGGTGCCGTTCACGAAGGGCAAGATCAAGGGAAAGGGGAAGGGAAAAGGCAAGAAGGGAAAGAATAAGCACAGGTCTGGCGGTCTTCATGGCAGCACCCCCGACGGACGCCAGATTTGCTTCGCATTCAACAACGAGGGATGCAGTGGCTCCTGCGGCCGGGTCCATGTGTGTCGCATCTGCCTGGACCCGGGGCACTCCATGGCCGAGCATCCTGAGGATCCCAAGCAGGCCTCATGACTAGGCGCTCAGCCAGCGCCAGAAGATTCGGAGAAGAAGAGTGACGATGCACGAGAATTCAAAGTCCTTTACTTGTTCGCTGGGCCCCAAAGGGACACCGGCATCCCTGAAGCGTTGCAGCGCCTGGCCAAGTCAGCCGCTGGGAGCATCTCCGTCGAGACGACGGTCTTCGACATCTTGCGGGACCGCTCGCAAGACCTCCTCAACGAGGAGACGCAGGCTGGGATCCTCGACAAGTTGAAGGCTGAATACTATGATGCGGTGATCATGTCGCCTCCATGCGCTACATGGTCCCGTGCGCCCTGGGCGAACAACTTAGGCCCACGGCCATTACGGTCTGCCAAACATCCATGGGGTTTTCCATGGTTGGAAGGAGAGAAGTTGAGGAAAATTCAGGCCAGCAATTCAATGGTGCAATTTTGTCTTCAATGCATCACGGTATGCATGGAGAGAAGCATTTTCTTCATTTTAGAGCATCCAGAGGATTTGGGTGCAACAAAGCGCTGGGGCAGTCAGTCCCGACCGGCCTCCGTCTGGCAGTTGCTGCCCATTCAAAACTGGGTACGAAGTGGCCAAGTCCTTAGCGGGGCATTCTTTCAATGCCACATGGGGGCTCGGTCGCAGAAACCCACACGCCTTCTCTTCAACCTGCCCTCCTTGGCGTCAGAGTTGTGGATGGGTCTACCCACTTTCTCTCCCACCTTCCACTATTCAGGTCCACTGCCACGGTCCTGTCGCTGTGCCAGATCACATGTTAGCCTCATTCGCCGTTTGCCGAACGATCAGTTTGCCACGGCAGGTGCTGCCGCATACCCTCCGGCTATGGACCTTTGGTTGGCACGCCACCTCTTTCAGGCCTTTCTCAAGCGGGGGACCAAGAGGGCTCATCAAGAGGTGGAAACAGGAGTGGCAAAAGCGCATCATGAGCAAGGGCCAGGGGAGAAGAGCGTCGTGGGCCTTGAAGGGCATCCTCCGGGTGAAGCCCAAGGGCAGGGTGATCGCGAAGGGCATCCTCCGGGTAAGCGTCATGGGCATCTTCACGGGCATCTTGCTGGTGATCCTCGTGGGCAAGTCGATGAGAATGGGAGTGGAGGTGACGTCCACCAGATGCAGTCACCCAAAATGCCCAGGGGACCTCGGGCGGCCTCCCTCTGGACTCCTTTGCAGGTTTGGTACAAAGGAAAGGCGAGGCGTGTGGTGGATGGGTTGGGCCTCAATTCGCCCGGGGTCCGGCCCGTTGGCCATAGGGGGCATGATCTTGGCAAGGAGGCTGGTGAGCTGGCGGGCATCTTTTGGCAGGCGGTGGACACCTTCATGGAGCAAGCGGGGAAGAAAGGCCTGCTGAGGCTTATCTCGGAGTTGGCCTTGGGACGCCACCTGGAATCTCCATTTCAGAAAGTCACGCCGGAATTGAGGGGCCGCTTGGATGATCGAGCACGGGGCCTGGGGTACAACCCGGATCGGAGAGAGGGTGATGTCGTCACCGAGATTGCATACCGGAGGCTGCACGCATGGGCCACACTGGTGGGGGACGAGGATTGCGCTTTCATCGTCGACGTGGCCTCGACCGGGGTCCCCCTGGGTGTCCGCAATGAGATACCATGGGTCCCGGCGGTCTATGACAAGAAGGGTCGTCGGGGAACGCTTGACGTGGCGCCGGGTCGTTGGGAAGAAGACTGGCCTGCTGACCCTACCCTTCGGGAGAACTACGCTTCGGCAAAGGACCACATGGAGAAGGTGAAGAAGCACGTCGAGAAGGACTTGGAGAAGGGCTGGATGGTCAAGATGACCAAGGAGGAGGCGGTTGGTCGCTATGGGGAAGACCTTCAGGTCGCCTCGTTGGGTGCGGTCCCCAAAGATAAGGATTGGAGTGATGTTCGAGTTGTTCATGACGCCACTCACGGCTTGCACGTGAACACGCAGGTGGACCAGCCCAACCAGATGGCCTTTCCTCAGTTTGACGACCTGGAGACCATGACTAAAGCCTTCCGTGATCATGCTGATCCACGTCGTCTCATGCTGGCCTTCGACATCAAGTCGGCTCATCGTCTGGTGCCCGTTCACCCGAGAGATTGGGGTCTTCAGGCGTGTCGGTTGGACTGCGAGGAGGAGATCTTGGTCAACACCCGGGGCACGTTCGGTGTGGCATCCGCTGCATTTTGGTGGGGACGGGTGGCAGGCCTGGCGTTTCGAGTGTTCCACAAGCTGCTGCCACCGGACGCCATCTTTTATCTGCTCCTCTTCGCCGACGACGGCCTGATGTTTTCAAGTGGTCGACAATATCACCGGCATCTTCTGGGGCTTCTCATGTTCTTGGAGGTGATGGAAATACCCCTGTCTTGGTCCAAGACGCGAGGAGGGGTTCGCACCGAGTGGATTGGGTACACCATCGACCTCCAGCAGTGGAAGATCGGCATCAGTGACAAGAAGGTGCAATGGCTTCGATCTTGGGCTGCCAGTACCTTAGCCGAGGGCAGGATGCTCGGGCGGGAGTTCAAAGCCGGGCTGGGAAGGATGGGCTTCCTGGCTGGGATATCGAAGAGGTCTCGCCCCTTCCTGGCCCCCTTGTATGCGGCCTCCTCTCAGGTAAAAGGGGGTAGTTTCTTCGAGTTGCACCTGGCGACAAAGCTGGCGATAAAGTTCTTCGAGGGCACGATCGCTACAGAACCCATGAGGCCTCTGTCCCTGCCACCTGAGGTCTTAGGAGAGATCTTCAGAGTCGACGCGATGGCCGACAACGACGGAGTGGCCATAGGTGGTTGGGAAACCTATTTGTCCAATGACACGAAGGACGCCCGCTGGTTCCATGTTCGGCTGTCTAGGAGCAGTGCTCCGTTCCTCTACGTCAAAGGGGAGCCTTTCCGCACCATCTCTTCCTCGGAGTTGCTGGCGGTCACAGTGGCCATAATGGCATTCGCTCCAGGCGCCAAGTGGAGGAACGGTTCAGGGCGGGTGGCCATTACGGGCTTTACCGACAACCTGTCCAATGCCTACCTGATCGACAGGTTTCTCACCACGAAGTTCCCAGCTTCGCTTGTCCTCATGGAGCTGGCCAAGCAACTCGACTTCTACAATTTGGACTTGGACCTCGCTTGGATTCCAAGAGAACAAAATGAACCTTTGGACGACCTCTCAAAAGGTCGGTACGAAAAGTTTGATCTGGCAAAGAAGATGGAGATAAGCTTCTCGGAGTTGAACTTCCTGGTCTTAAAGGACATGCTGGACGCCGCCATGGCCATGGACAAAGAGATCCAAGAGAAGAAGGCTTCGAAACCAAAGGTGGGCGCAGCACCAGGTGACAAGACACCTGCGGATCAACGTCTCCGTCTTCTACAGCCCTGGTGACTTCTAAAGAGGGAGGAGGTCGAAACGGAGCACTCGATCCAGAAAAGGGGCGGAGAACCCTGGCACGTGGAATCGAAAGCGCGCGTCGATAGAATGTGCCTTTGGTTCGTAGCCGGAGGCTCAAAAGAGCACCCACCACACCCCACCCTAAAACAGGGAGGAGGTCGAAACGGAGCACTCGATCCAGAAAAGGGGCGGAGAACCCTGGCACAGCTTCTTATCTCTGGACATTTCTCCAGAAATCGTTCTCCCACAATCCTCCGATTCCATTCCTCCAACTGCACGACACACAGACACACACTGAGAAACTCACCCTGTGCCAAGCTGCAGCTTTGACAAGTGCAACTGAACTCTGAACCTGTCACAGTAACCATCGCTTTACCCGACGACATCGCTCTGCCTTGCGACTGCTCTGCTGACTGCTCTCGCCGACGGTCGCCAACCCGGAACTTGCTACTCGGAACTTTCTCTCACAGGAAAACACAAGCAAAGCACAAAGTGAATTAGTTGACACAGCACAAAAAACCTGGTGTTGCCTTGGTTCATATCTCATTGCTTCCCTTGCCAAACCGCCAGACCTTTCCTTTTCCAGTTCGAGACTAAAAGCATCCCTGGAAGGGAGTCAATGAACACTCATCATGACAGCTTAGATCGTGTGACATCACCATCTACGTTTGCATGTCTCTGAGTCGGGCAGGAAGGTGCAAGACGATGCCAACTGCTATTGCCAATTGCCAACTTTGCCAACTTTTGAAACGCAGCCCTCAAGCCTCGTGATGCAACAGTGAATAGAACATAGTGAATGAGATGGCCTCGCCCTCTTCCTGCCTTGCCCTGTTGCCATTCTCAAGAGTCGCGCGCAGACGAAACACTTGCACAATCATGGCAATCATGCAGGACTGAAATGTGGATGAAGCTTCTCTCGGACAAGTCCGACACACCCATTGTTGTGGTCTCAAGCGCTAACAAGGCTGACATTTTGCAGCATGTTTGACCGCCAGATGTTTGTGTAAGAACGACTGATCCTGTGCATTGCCTGGACAATGCATTTGGGCATGGCCATCACAGTACCTTGTGCCAATTCTCTGCCAAGGAATTCATCTCTCCGGTACGCTGGGTGCATTATCCCATCGAAAATGGCGAGTTCTCCGTCGAAGAGGCTGTGGATTGATGTGTGAGTTCAGCTGAGAAGCAACTCCACGGAGTGATCACTGATCACACATGCAGTGGCTTTGGTCATTTTTGCGCACACCTCGAGAGAAGTCACTGTTTCTTTCATGTCGCTCGCGCCCGCGCGATTGGAGGATCGGAAAGAGTGCTGCAGAATTGCACAAATAGCTTTGGATATCAAATTGGAGAAGCTGGAGAGAAATGCAGAGAAGGGGGAGAACCTCAACCTCTACAGGTGCCATTCCTGCGTCCCAAAAACTGTCTCGACAGCTTTTGGTGCCTAAAGCTTACACAAGGTATGGTTCAACAGGTTGAGTAGACGTCTTTTAGGGCCACAGCTTAACAATGCTTAATGGCGGGGTTACATACCTACGCTTGGACGTGTTCTTTCACAAATTAGGTACTTTTGCACTATAGACTATAAAGCCTCAGTCGTACAGTGTTCCTCAACACACCTCAGCACAGCCAAATTTCAATTGTGAAGAAACACTAAAAATGAGTGATCTTAGTGAGATGGTAAGTAAGCCAAATATTGCCAAATGCCGGTTTTATGTTCCATCATAAAGAGACCGGTTAAGAGTTTCCAGATGTTTCCAGACCGTAATTCACCTTTAGACTCAAAGAACGAAAGAGAGAGAGAGAGAGAGAGAACCAACAAAGACACACATATATAATGTAGCAAACCTAGAAGCAATGGCCTCCAACCTAGTAGCGATGGCCTCCAACCTACTAGCTATGGCCTCCAACCTACTAGCGATTCAGCCGTTTAAATTAACTGGCAAAGAGTTTCCAGATGTTTTCAGAGACATTCAGAAGCTATGTGGCACACTCGTGCTTGCCAAGAGCAAAATGTACTCATTTTGAGTGCAGTGCAAGCATCGTTTTGCAAAGACTGGTAACTACACAGTATACATTCCTAACAATGTAAAGAGAACCAGTACATACAATCCACGCCAGAAATCGAACTACAATGCATGCACTGTAGTGTGACTGCATACACTGTGCTGCAGAGGCTGCAATGCCCACACTGCGTTGTAGGGAATTGGTCAGGATGCAGTTTGTAGTGTAGTGCAAATACCATTGCAGTGCGAAGACCATCATGCAAAAATTTCTGCAACAGTTTGCAAAGATATCAAACTATAGGCAAGTAGAACTTCATAAAGCAAACAGTAGTATGTCTTTGAAGCTTTCTAGTAACTAGAAGCTACTTACTAGGTGGAGGCCATCGCTGCTAGTAAGTAACAGAAAATAGCAAACAATCAAGTTATGGCAGATATCGACTTTTTCAGGTACTACCTCGCTCGCTATGAAGCGTTTTGCGGCCTTCGCGCGCGTGAACGCAGCCTTGACGACTTTCTGTCAGACTTCAAGTTTGAGACACTCGCCGCCCAGCAATTCGCTGACTGTGCCCTTCAATGTACTGTAAGTAAGTGTTTACAGCCATGAAGTTGCTTGAGACTATTTGAACTTAACTGGCTGTGTGTTTGTGAGTGTACGTGCATTCAAGACCTTGTGGGTTCAATACAGGTCCAACAAATTGCACAATGCTTTCTCATTGACAAATTGATTGGAAGAACAAGTAAACAAGCGACTTTTGATGCAGTGCCTCATGGAATGTTGGTGGAGCGTTGCCCAACGTCTTCCCCGCGCCACTGTGAAGATTTGTACTTATATGGCTAGGTGTTCCGTATCAGAAACACGGTTGTTGAGACCAGTTTTGTTTCAAGACACACCTTCTACCCTCATTTGCGCTTTGATGCTTCATGTGCATGACAGACACGAGAACCAGACCCCAACACAGAGTTGAGATTTGGAGATTGACCTTGACTCCGAGGAACATACAGGCTGCCTTGAAGCAAAAGAGACTTGATTGCACCTACGACTCATGAGCGCTCATGAGCCCACCTATGTCTCAAGTGAGCAAGCGGCAGAGTGTTCATATCGATGTGAACTTGTGAACTTTATACGCGTAGCAACATACTGATTGCAACCGGTTTTGCCAGATCAAGATGTAAACAGGGTCGCAATAGGGTTGTTTCTTGCACTTGTGGCATAGCGTTGCGCTCCAACCAGAGCCGGATGCTCACTTAGGAAGGGAATGGGTGCCATTGCTTGTGCTGTTGCCTCTGAAGATATTGGAATGTTGAAGGCTATGGCTAAGGCACGTTTTCTCACATTATTGGTGCATTTATCATATTTGCCCATATTGCCTCATTGACACATTGATTGCTTCTTAGCAGCCCAGCAAAAAGGAACCAGATACTATTGTTGTTACATTTCCCCGGCATTGGTTTCTTTCCCTCTCTCTCTCTCTCTGCCTGCCTGCCTGTGCCTGCCTGCCTGCCTGCCTGCCTGCCTGCCTGCCTGCCTGCCTGCCCCTGCCTGCCTACCTGCCTGTCTCTCTGTTTGTCTGTGACTCTCTCTGTCTCTTGTTTTTTTTCTCTTTCTCTTGTTCCCCCTACCTGTGGGATCATTTGCTGAAGTGCCGTCAGGACAGGGTGGAACTAAATATGTTGGCTCAATTTTGCCATAACGCCACTTTTTGGTACTGTACCACCCTGGCTGATCCCCTGGACACATCACTGCAGACACCGATCTGGTGGCCTTGGTGAAAGGAGTGGGACGAAGGAGGTGATGACTCTGGCGGATGTGGTGTGTAATGTGACACGCGTGCGTGGGCAAGCAGAGGTGCGACTGGTTGACCACACCCTTCAACCCAACACTAAGGTGACTAAGGCTCTCCAGACCAAAAGAACGAACCGCTTTTGCAAACTTAATGAACTGAAAGCTTCGCAGTCTTGGAAGGGCTTGGGTGCAACAGAGTTATTTTTTATTGGCTGTGCACATCTGTGCGCACAGTCGGCTAGGTTGATTCTGATGGTTGCCCAACCCACTTCAATATCGATATGTGGCCGTACAACTAGCACAGATCAAGGCCTTCCGCCCCAAAGTTCCCTCAGCAGATACCAACCGCGTGCAGCTGCGCTCAGCTCCTCTTCCCGCTCTTGCCCACGCCGCAATTTTCACGCCAAAGCTGCCAAGGTTGAAGTCGGAGTTCGGAAACAAGTTCCGGTGTATCATCATCTGTATGTACCTGACACCACAATCTAGGTCTCATTGCCGTGGTGTAGGTTGTATATAAATATTTGTGAGTTCATACTGTCATTTTTTAGCACAGATTTTACACATCCGCAAGGCCCGTACGGGCTAAGCTTGTAGAGTCAAACAAGAAACATGTTCCATCCCAGGAGATGCGTGCAGACTAGGGGCTGTCGATGAACACGGCGAAATCAAACTCCATGCAGTGGACATGACTCCAAGTCGAGTAACAGCGCATTAGGAGGCTCGAAAGTATAAGATGAAGGAGGAAGCGATTTTGTGGTGCAGGTCCCCCGCAAAGAGTCACACCACTCGTCTACGCGCAAGTCGAGTACTTCGATGTCGATGCACATCAATATTGCGAATAAATGTACGGAGGGAGGTGCCCTCAACTTTTCTTAACTTGGCAATGGGGACGTGTTAGTGCAGAAGAACGTCAGGGCACACAAGTGGACAGAACGTGCCATCGTCATCATCGTCATCATCATCATCATGTCCAAATCCAAATTGTTTTCTAGAGGCTGGAGGATATGTATAAGGTGCGTCACCTAGTCACGTGGTACCTTGTAGTTGCAGCTTTCATTATCCTGAACGGAATCATTGTGTGGTCCGGATTTAAACATTTACAGAGTGTGTCCGCATGTCCAGCTTGTGTAGGTGATCACTTGAAGTAGAATCACTTGTTTTTGTTTCTTTTTTATTCTTTTCGTGTTTTCTTTCGACTCTTTGTCGCGGTTCTTTCATTTCTGTCATTTCATATACTGTATTTCTTCCTGGCGGTGCTCTTGCCCATCTGCGTGATTGCAACATGGTTTCTCACTTTTTTTTTTGGTTCCACTTTTGTCCGCTTCTGTTTTGCTGCTACCTCGTTCGTGGGGAAACAACGCTTATTGGACTCGAGTTTGCTTTGTTGAAGCGATGACAAAACCACGTGGGCAGATGTCTGGAGGCCGGTGCGCCATTGGAGACCAGGTTTCCTGAAATCGCTGAGGCCTTCAGGGTCAAAAGTTGTTAACTTTATTTGTCTTTGTTTGGTCCTGGCTGTTTTCGGTCAGATCATTTCAAACCAAAGTGTTTTTGATTTTCCTTAACTATGCTCAGTCTCAAGCGAGTGCAATGTTCCTTTGTATGTTTAGTGAACGTCCTGCGCGCTTCCGCCGCTTCCGCGCAGTCTGGCGTGAAAAGTAAGGCACTTGTTACTACTAGCGATGCACTTGTTCCTACTAGCTTCTTGTTACTACTAGTAAGGCACTTGTTACTACTAGCG